TGCACTCCAGTCTGGGTGACAGAGTGAGACTCCAACTCAAAAAAAAAAAAAAATGAAGTACTCACAGAAGCCATGGGAGCAGCTCAGCAGAGCATGAACTCTGAAACCAGCAGGCCTGGGTTCAAATCCTTGTCTGTGCCGTTTTCTAGCTATGAGACTTTAAACAAGTTATTTCACCTCCCATCACAGCCGTTTCCTCATCTGTAATGGGAGTGTGATAGCGATGATAACAGGACCTACTCATAGGGTTGTTACGAGGATTAAGCAAGTCAACGCTGGTGAAGTGCTTACAATGGACATTGGCATTTGTGCTACGGTGCGCCTGTTACATGAAATGAGAGAAGTACTCTCTCTCCCTGATCTCCTTCTCACCCCAAGGATTACTGCACAATTGGATGGGGGGATTACAGGCTTTGTTTTGCCATCTTCTAAGAGGCAGCAACTGTCTCATCTCAGGAAAATAAATCTCTTACTGAGCAGCTGGCAAACCCAGGACTTGGCAGAGGAGGAGAAGAGAAGGTTCTCTCATCAGTGCATGGTAGGGAGTCCGAGCCAGGGCGGTGGGCGCCTTTGTAAGGCCAATGCCACCCAGGTAGTCACTCCCCTTTGGCCAGTTTGACCAGCCTCCTGTTCCCTGATCAGATGCTCTGATGTGATGGTGCACGGCCCCAGACACACCTGGGCATTAGTTCCCAGTAGTGAGAGTGCTCCCCTAGAGATCCCACACAAGCCACGGGAGTCCTCTGTGCTTCCATCTGCAAATATGTAAAAGGACAAGAGGTTGTAGGCCAAGTCATTTAATAAGAGCAGCACAGCCGGCTGGATTGGGGCAAAGGCATTTAGAGGCCGCAGGTGGCGTCCACTCTAACACTCCTGTTCCTCCTGTACCTGGGTCTCCCTCCATCCCTCTCCCCCTGATCACTGCAAGTTCTCAGAGAAACCTTCCCGCTGTTGGGAACAGAGTCTTTTGGCCTCATATGTAGGCTTCCTCTTAATTGGTGCATGCAAACAAAATGGAAAACATCAACAGAATTAAACAAAATAATTGTTCTCCTCCCTCAGGAACAACTAGAAAAAGCAGCTTTGGAGGAGACGGTTAGACAACCTAGCGTCCCATGTCATTACTGAAGTATCTTCTTCCGCTCTGCACCATGGTGTTTCCTCTGCTTGAAATCTAATTCCACCCAATCCCAGAACCCCCCCAATTATGAAAACCAAAGCCAGCAAAATAGGTGGATCTTTGTGGATTTATTTTCTCCGGTTCCTAGTTGATGATTGTCCAGTAATGTCTGATTTTTAAATTAATTTTCATGCTATTCTATTTGAGTAAAATGGAGGGCATGAAGCTGTGAACTTGTATTAAGGAACAAATGCAGGGACAACACCATAGCAGCTGTTTTTTTTTCTGTGTTAGCTCGTTATGTTCTCACAACAATACTCCAAGGAAATGATAAGTCCCATTTTGGAGAGAGAGATGCTGAGGTTCACCTAGAGAGAGGTTCACTGGCTTGCCTAAGGTCACACAAATAGTAAGTAAAAAACTGGAAACCTGTTTTTCCCTGACCCCTCCCCACCCCCACTCTTTCCACTATATCTAATTAAGACAACACTATTCTAAGTTTGAGTCAAGAGCCTTTCTAAAAACAGTCTGCAACTCAGACCCATTCAACCTTGGGCTAGGCCTCAGTGTACACATCTCTAAAATGAGAGGTCTGGGATGCTGTTTAGGGTCTTTCAAAATGCTAATGTTCCAATATTCCAGCCAACAGCCCCCATGAAATTTGAGGCTAGACCTCCTTTATCTGTGAGTCTTTCTACCTTCGGCACTTTTATTCGCCCCAACGATCTCCAAGTTCTCTTCACCATTATCGAAGACATAACCTCACAGACCTTGGGGATCCCAAGAATCTGTGTGAGGACTCTGTGTACACTCCTCTAACAACTGGACTACGAAGTAAAAGAAAAAGCAAATCTCCGCTCAAAAGGGAACTGAGATGGGACTGAGGAGGCTTTTCAAAACAGGGGCCAACCATAGTTTGGAGACCCAATGCCCAGACCACAGCCCTGGCCACGGCTCTCACTCTGTCACCAGACTAATCCGAATAACTTGAACGTTACCTCTAGAACGTTTCCATAGCCCCCTACCCCTGGCGGATGTCCTTCCCATTCCTTTCATAGTACATACATCACGCAGTGTTCTAGTGGGTCCATTGAACAAGCCTGCCCCCAGTCCAAGAGGCAGAGACGCTCTCATTCATATTTGCATTCCCAGGGCCTAACACCATGCTTGGCTCATAACAACTACACCGTGTGAATGAGCAAACTATGGTCTAGCACCTCCTGGGTTGGGGTCACTTCTACCTTGCAGTGCCCTACCATGCCCCACAGAGGGTCCTGCCCAGCCAATGGCTTCCCTCCCAAGCCTTTGAATGAATTGGCTATCTGTCCACAGAGGAGGTCGGGAGAGCAGAGACTTTTCCGTTCTCAAGCCCTTGCAAGAATTTCTGCTTTGTCCTGCCTGCCAGAATCCTCCTTTGGCTCCCAAGACCGTGCCTCCAACTGACAAGCAGGAGGCCAGCTGGTCAGCTGTTGGTTCCATTTACTCGGAGCCGGCGGCTCTGCTGCTCCTGTCACTGAATGGAGGGATCCCGGGGACGGATGTGCCTGGGTGTTAAGGCAGCCTGTGGACCTCGTCTCCGGAAGCTTCTGTGAAGTGTGACTGGGTTGCCCTGCCTGGCATGGTGACTTGAATCTTCAGTTTGTCGGTTCTCTGTGATCAGAGGCAGACCCCCACCCTCACGCCCAGATCTCCCACGCCCCCACCAACCCCCACCCCTTGACCAGAGTGGAAGTGATAGCTGCGACCCTTGCAATAGAATTGGGGGCAGCCGCAGGGGAGGAGAGAAGGGGCTATTAGCAAATCAAAAGGAAAGAAAACAGGGAAAGGAAAACACAGCAGCAAATTAAAGCGCTATGTTTTCTTTTTAAAAATGCAATGAACGGGAAATCTGCCTTTGAGTAAAACAATCATGCCCTTGTTACAAAGTATCCCAGGATACTTAACATAGGAAAACGCTTTTTAATCACCTTTTTTTCTCATTACAAGTTGGATAATAGGAACACCGTAGTAATTTCCCTTTAACTCTTACTTTTCGCACCCACGCAAACACATTGGGTTATAACGGTGTTCTTATTCTATCTTTGTCTCAGGCACAGTCTCAAGCATGTTGGTTTAGACACTCTCCCTAGATTATTTCCATATCCCATTCACATACCCTCACCTACAGATAATTCTCTCTCTCTCTCTCTCTCTCTAATGTATACACACACTCACACAGCAACATTCTCTATACACACTACACAAGCGTAAAAACAGATATGTCCTTCTAATTCAATGCTAATCCAGCTACCTGTATTTCCCAGTTCCTCCCGTCTCCATGCAGGTCCACACCATGAAGCCCAAGTGCAATTCTTACCGCCAAAGCCTGCGGGAAACTTCATGAAGTGGGAATAATTTCCATACATGTTTACTCTTCAGTTCATGCTCCTCTCTTGTGCGTCTTCTAAAGATCACGGCCTCTCGGGCTCCCAGGCACAGCCAGGCTGCCTTCAACTTGGGCTAATAAGAGTGGTCATCGCGTCCTAGCAGCCCGGGGAGCGCAGGCTGGGCCAGCCCTCTGGGATTAGTCAGGAATCTGCCTCTAGATCCGAGAGTCCACATAGTGCGTTCGAGACGGCTGTGGCGGCAGCAGCTGGTGCCTGTCAGTAATCACGCATAATGCTGCCGCCGCGCCACCACCACTCTTGCCACTGCCGTTGCTGCTGCTTGAGATCCTGTTGCTAGTTTGATTAACTCAGGGTTGGGCTGCTGCGTGCGACTCTTCCAGCTCCCGGCTCGTCCCCAGAGGTCCCTACGGGTGGCACGATCTATTATCTAGGAAGCCAATCGATGTATGACCACCCGGAGTAGGTCAGAGGAGAGGGGGATGGTAGCAAGGGATGGAAGTCTCCTTAGGTGCTTTTTTCTTGACTTGTACCCCCCAAATCAATGAGGTTTTATTAAAATGCATTTTCTCACCTAGGATTTGATTTGTGAAAGGGGTTGGGGGTAGGGATCAAGAAAGAACAGAGCCCTTTGTAAGCATAAGATTAGGAATGTGTGTGCCTCAGTCTCCAGCTATGGAAACTAAAATCAAGTAGCCCTTAGATCTAGTTGGCCTTTCCTGCTTTGGTGGCCAGAAGCACTTATCTAGGCTCTGACCACAGGAGCTCGACAAGTGCAGCTGGGAACCAGAGCTCGCTCATGTGGAACACTGACAGGTAGGGAGGAGAGGTTGGCTCCTCCCGGTGGTCATACTTAGTGTTTTGCTGGAGGGATTCATTCATTTTACATACCACTGTCATCATGCCACCTGTTCAGAAACACCACTGTGGCCTCACTGACACAGAGACCCTCTTGTGGGAAACTCACCCACAGGTCGAGTCTAAGCACCCTTTGATGTTCAGGTCTGCTTTTGTGACAAGTCACTGCTCAGCTGATACTTGAACACCCCTAATAATGGGGAACTCACTACTCTCCATTCCATCTCTACACAGCTCTCACCATGAAAAAGTTTTTACTGAGCTGAAATCTGTCTCTTTCCCCTACAGCTTCTGCCCACAGGTTCTAAGCTCCTGCTTAGAGCCACACAAGAGAAGTCCGTGGTCTTTCACAGTGGGACCTTTTGCAAGTTCTGAGATACATCTGCCATACTCATAATCTCACGTACTCCCAGCATTTCTTGATCTTCCAGTCATTTCATGTATCACCAAGTGTTTAGGTCTATTCACAACCTGCCCTTTTACTAATAACGCACTGCAATTTACATAGATACCTCATGGTGAGGTTGGCCAGACTTGGATGCAATACTCCAGATACGGCCCAAGTCTTTACCTCACAGTATAGATGTTGGCAGGGTGACGGGATGCTGTCAACACACCCATCATTGGGTCAGTTTTGTGGGCTGAACTTTGAGGGACTGGAATGAGAGGTTTTCTCCTAAAGCAGCACAGGATATAGAGAGCCAGAGAGGCAACTCAATCAGGGATCCATAGGGGGGAAAAAATCAAGATTCAAATGCTAGGAGAACCAAGAACAAAAACTGAGAATAAAGGCTAGAGGGGGGAGCACAGTCAGGATGACAGAGGAGGAGGCCAAGATAAGGATAAGAGCAAGAGCAGGTCAGAAAGGAGGAAGAAACATCTGGGCTGTGCGGAGCCTTGGAGAGCCTGGAGCTGCCTTAACTGGTTGTGGATCTCAGAGCATCTGTCAAGAGTCAGGTGGACATGTGCCGTGCAGAATATAGGATGTTGGGCTACTTGCATCCACTTCTGGGCAGTTCCACATGTTAATTCGTGTAGAACTAACTTGATAAAACCTTTTCCCCTCCCCCCTTTTATACACATTCTTCATCTTGTCTTCAAGCAGTTGGTTGGAGTGCTCACATGAAATAGTTCCCCTATTCCTCTGAAATGGAAATTTTTTGGATTCATTCATCATCACAGATCCTTTGGGACCCTGCTTCTGCTGTCCAATGTATTTCTTCTTCCTACGTACATGTCATGACTTCTGAAGTTCTGATGAACTGCATTCCATATTGTATCCGACTCATTGGGTAAAACGTTGAAAAGGACATAGTAAAGACAACATCTTATACTATATCACTTGAAAATCCACAAGTGCCTTTGACACTCTGCTACTTACCAGTTACTGGGCCTGGAAAGGCTATGTCTACAGAAAAAACACCATTTCACGTGCTGACCTTACTGGGTGCAAATCCACTGCTGACAGCCTCACGACATTGGCAAGGGGCAAAATCTCCCTGGGCCTCGGTTGCCTTATAGGGTTTACTGTGAGTATGAAATGAGCCAGTACATGTTAATCCTTGAAATACGCCAGATTCATAGTAAAGTCTCAATGTGTGCAAGCTAATTTGATAATGACAGTGGGGAGAAGAAGGAGGAAGAGGAGGGTGTAACCTTAAGCACATTACTTTACCTCTCACTTGCTTTTTCTCATTTGTACCATGATGGGACAGGATAGCAACTTTAAAATCAAATGCAAACTCTCCACCACCTATTCCATAACTATCCATTTTCTCCACAGTAGTGTTGGAAGCAAGTTTCTTACCAATTGCAGTTTTCAATTGTACGCAAGTCAGAGAAGGAAATTTAAACTGAGTTATTTAAACTGGCCTTTTGGTGAACCTATGCTTGCAAGGGTTTTTCTAAGTATTTAAGGACTCAAGAGCCATCTTTTAAAAAGCCCACATTAGAGCTTTGTCCAAGGTTAATGTCAAGATGACCTGTTGGTAGCTTGTGGTAAACTTTACTTTCTTTTCCTTTTTATAAGTTAAGTACACAATCAACTTCTTGTTCTCACAGAATAAAAACCAAAGTCCTTAACCTAGCATAGAAACCCTCACCATTGTGCATCAGTTTGCCTTTTGGGCCCTATGTGGAGGAAAGTGCCTGAGGCAGTCATCACGTTGCCCAAGACACATACTGTCTGGGAAAAATACTCATGCTGCCTGCCTCACTGAGATTTCTGGTTTGAGTTTTTGTTTTGTGGATCATATGTCATAAGAGTTGGGCATGTGTTCATTTTTATGCTGCAAAGTTCTCTACAATTTCTTTATACAACTAATGCAAATAATTAATATTTTCCTGATTGTCTTTTCTCCCTTCTCTGACGATTCCTTCTGGTCGGCTGTAATTGACCACGGTAGGAGCACAGGATGCTCATTCCAAGGCCTGGGTCATTGTTCATGCCCATCTACTTATTCTCATCTTTCAATTCTTACCTGACATTCACGTTTCAGTCCTGTTCCCACCATGGTCACACTTATCATCAAAGATCTCCCCCAAAATAAATCTGACAAAACTTTTTATCTGGTGTGCCAGATGACACTTAATACGTGTGGCCTTGAGCCATCTCCAGGGCAACAGAATAGAATGGTTATTTATCTTTCCTTTGACTATGTCTCGACTTCATACCATAATTGTGTCTTTGTGTTCACACATAAAAACTAGAACACACAGTAGGTGCTCTATAAATATTTTTGCATCAAAAAATTCTTGGAATGCTTAAAAAATGACAAAATCATTACAGCAAAGAGAACCCTAGCATGTATTCCTTGTGATACCTTCCATGTGGTTTAACATCTCATGACAAGCCATAAACGTTGCCTAAAGTTCAAGAAACATGAATGCTTTTCTTCTTAATGTGCATTTTTTGCTTGGCACCGCTGTGTCTTGTCTAAGCCTGTTATTGATACAAAAGTATTATCCTAAGTGGCTGGTATTTCTAACCTAAGCTCTTCCCAAATAATTCCACTGACTTTAGTCACTCCAGTGTCTCCAGCTGTTACTGAATTCTCATTAGGATGTCAAGTGAAAGACCAAGTGCTCAAAGCCCATGATAGGAATTAGCTAATTCATTCATAAGAATTCTGGGCTTACTTCTTTCAAGGCTAATTATCTAGTCCCTTAAATATTATGTTCTGCCTTTATTAAAGTGCCTTTGAGTAAATGAAAAGGGCATGTGTTTCTTTTTTAACATTAATTCTTTTTTAAAATTTGTTTTTTGCATTTTCACTAGTATGTTCAACTGACACAAATTCGACCAATAATATCTTATATTTACCCTGGCAATCAAGGGATATAGCTTATAGCTTCTCTTTTTACTTCCTTCTTTCTTTCCCTGCCCTTTTTCTCTTTGGATTTTGACTTATAATGATAAAAAATATTATTTTGCAGCAAACACAAATTAAAACCAAACTCATTCATTTGAAATGGTCAATAAATATTAGATATAGAACTTAGATGCAAGTCTCTCCAAACTGATGTTATATATTATTATTTTTACATTTTGGTATTACTTTACCTACATGACAGTGTATTAAGTTTCAATGCATTTCCCCAAATATTAGAGTTAAATAGGGCAAACTTTATTATCCCAATTTTATAAATGAGAAATTTGAGACCAAGTATGTGAAATCTGAGAAGGAAAGATAACTATTCTAACAAATTGAGTTTTGGATCTTGTTTCACAACTAGATAGTGACAGAAATGAGTATAAAAATCAGACTCCCAACTCTGACTCCCAGCAGGCTCATGAATGGTATGTTTCCATCATATGTGTGTTGGGTGAGATCTTACTCTCCATTGTTTTTTCTCTTTGCTGTTACACTTTAATTCACTCACCATTCAGCCAACAGCTACTGAGAACTTCTTATCTGTCCATAGGTGGTGATATACTAAGGGGGAAGGTAAATACAGTCCCTGACCTCATGAAGCTTATGCAGCCTGATGTAGAAGACAGAGAGGAAACAAACAGTCACAGACACACATATATCATTACAAACCGTGATATGTGCTATGAAGGAAAATAATTGGATGAGATGAAAGACTATAGCAGGGAATCTAATTTGTATTGAAAAGTCAGGGCAGACTTCTTTGAGGAAATGATAGTTTCACTTAGAGACCTGAAGGACAAGTAGGATCCAACCTGGGGAAGGAAGGAGGGGCATCGGGGGGTCTTCCAGGAAGAGGGAGCAATAGGTCTAATAGCCCCCAGGAGGGAATAAATTCAGTACATCCAAGAGACTGGAGGTAAAGACATGCAGGTCGCTGTGTCAGATGGTTTGGCCTTCTCACGTGCCATCGTTTCATTGTCTCACCCATGATTCTGTGTTCAACATGCCATGTCAACTCTAGGCTATGCACCGCTAGAAAATCTTCCTTCCTGTCTTTGTCTCCCCTTCGCATGCTGGTCATACAGAAACCATTTTCCTATTGCATCCTCTGTAACTCACTTTCATGCATGTGTGCATTCTGACCCTTTGCTCAGAATAGCCTTCCCCGCCCTCTGCTCTCTGCTCAACTACTACCTCAAGGCCATTCTCACGGGGCCTTTTAGGTGGCCCTCTGGT